AAACCTCCCCCCGATCGACATACATTTTCGTATACTATCGTTAGTATTATTAGTCGTATTTCCTTATTTGATCGTTACCCCTCTCCCCCCCCGTATCAATTCGATTGGAAATATCCAATTGTAAGACAAATTTATCCAATTGTTATTATGTAATCGTATCATTCGTTTTTAAATTCATTTGCTAATACATCATGTAATACTGTTGCTTTATTTTTAACGATAGATAGGTTTCCGAAAAAATCGTTTCAAAAATTTTGTGTATAAAATATTATATATATAATGCATTTATTGAATAATAGGAGGAATGGTTTCAATACTATGAGATCAACAAATATAATAATACAATAAAATTATTATTTTTCAATTTTTTTTCTTTTTAGAATTTGGATCAAATTATACGATTAAAAATTTCAAATTCGTGTAAAAATAGTTTGTTCTTTCTTTCCCTTTTTAAGAGTTCATAATTATTTCTCTACGAACACCCTCTCATACCTATCCAATATTATCAAGAATCTTTTTATTGTCTTTACGGAATCAATAAGTACACAGTTTTTGTCTTTTACGTTTACGGAGAAGTCACACATCTATTTTACTAACTATGTATCCCTCACTCCTAATTGTTACTTGACTATAAAGATCTAAAAGTCGTCGTCCATAAAAATGACAAATAATTATTATGAATTTTTATTTGAAATAATTTTCTAAATTGTTATCTCTTATTCACTCACTCTCTCTCTCTCTCTTTCTCTTGAAACTATATCTAAATGGAAGTAACAAACAAAAGCATCATAGTCCGAATTGGTCCGGCCTGATTTCTCGCGATCTTCTTTCTCTCCCGTCTCTTTAAATTCAAATAATCGAATCCAATTTAGAAAGGTTTTTACGATAAGAGCAGTAAGACGAGGAGAAGGGTTCGAGGCAAATGGTCGAATCACCGTCCTTGATTGGCACCATAGAAAAAGAAAGATAGATAGAAAGAGAGAGAGAGAGAGAGAGAGAAATAAATAAAGGAAGAAAGCAAGCAAGAGAAATAAAAAATAAGAGAAGTAGAAGATCAAGATAAACGAGAGATATACACGCATACATATATATATATATCATTTGCACGCGTGGAAAGCTTCCATCTGCTTATTCGCAATACCGCGATATGCATTTAATCGAAGAAACCTCCTTCGGAGAGACCTTTATTTTCGATACTCTGATATCGATAAGACGAAGTGCCGGTGTAAGTGCAATTCGGTTGCTCGATAAATCGTGATAGAACTTACCCAACTGTGTCTTCTTTTGGAATAAACAAAAAGGATACAACAAATAAGAATGAAAGAGATAGAATATAAGTAAGAGTAAGACGACAGTAAGAGAAACAGTAAGAGAAATAAAGAAATAAAGAAATAAAGAAAGAGAGAGAGAGAGAGAGAGAAAGGAAAAGCATCGGTGAAGTTCGTACCCTCTGGTATTCACCGTTCTGGCATGTATATGTTCTTCGCCAATGGTAATACGACGTAGAGAGAAACGAGAGGAGAAGTAAGCTCCTTCCTTCAAGGCCCCTGAGGGCCTTTGAGTGCCCCTCGTGCCTCCCACTATACGCTGAGAACCCGTGCACCAGTTATTTATTGTAGCTCCCGTTTATGCTTTATTTGTTATTTGCCTGCTCGGCCGCTCGCGCCCCAACGACTATGACTATAACTACGACCATACAACGACGATGATTTTACACTAACATACGTAAATAATAATACATGCATAAATACATATACGTACTTTTATACACATATATATAAATATAAATATATATAAGTACGTACCACTACCGGCTGTATCCATACTAAGGGCTACTCTCTGTCTGTTTCTCTTTTAGATGCTGCGACCGATACTTTTCTTATCTTACCTCGTACACGGAACGAGAACATCGTGAACGTGCGTACAACGTAACTCGATTCGCATAATTAAACGCATATACTAAGAAGTTAAGATATGCAGATAGACTTCTTATCTTGTTAGAAGCATGATGGGAAAAAAAGAATAAATTCGATAAGATGTTTTTAGTTTTCTCTCTCTCTCTCTCTCTCTTACTATCGCTCTCTTTCTTTTTCCTTTTCTCTTCATCGGTCCACATTTCTCGAGAAATACGAGACAGGAAAATATATCGACTAAGTATATATCAACGAATGATCGATAATTGAGATCAGTAAGAATCCATCTTATTTCTCGCAAATGTGGTCTACATTAATTCTATAACAAGACACTTTGGTGTATTAGTAGATGGAAGGAAATCGAGCGAATCGTGCTCGTTATCGATCTTTTCTTTAAGTCATATATATATATCGGTGGTAATAAAGCGACGTTTAATAAAACATTCTACGTACGATGAAATATCCGTCGCGGTTGGCTTTCGTATTAATCAAACGCCCACAGTTCTTCTCTATCTCTCTTCTTTCCTCTTCTCTCTTCACCCTTTTTCTACTTCTCTCTGTTTCTTTCTTGGTCATTCTATCGTTAATTAAATTGTATTTAAGCCGAATTAATGGTCGACGTTCTGTCGTTCCTCCTCTGTAATTGTCGTTGGTCTTTGGAAAACGAATGTATGACAGGTGCACGAATGTTCTCTACTTTGATACATACGTGTATATGTGTGTATGTGTACTTATGTGTGTATATATACACGTACAAATCCAAACATACGTCGAAGATAATTGTCGTTGACCATAAATTAGCAAATCATCGTTCAGTTTTTAGTTTCTCGTCTAAAAATCAAATCTATCGATGAAGAACTTTCCTCTTCGGTTGACTAGCTGGCAGGCTGGCTGGCTGGCTGGCTGGCTGGTCGTTTGTCCGGTCAGTCAGCCGGCCGAGAAGAAAGAGTTTCAGAGAGGGTAGCGAAGAGGGGATGCCGATGAGAAGGAGGAGGACGAGGAGGATGGGGGTTGGGTGACAGGACCGAAGACACTACAAGAAAGAGAGAATAATGCGTTAAAGCAGCAACCAGCAACTACTCTAATTGGCCACTTTGTCCATTTATTCGATTTATTTAAATTATGGGACAATTGACAGTAGGCATTCTATTTTTTAAATCTCCCCGGCCAACCGGCTGATTGGGCGAGATTGGCGTGAGACACTGGCCCCACAGATTCCCCAGTTGTGGGCTTAATCAGCTTTGATTGCTGGTCTCTCTCTCTCTCTCTCTCTCCCTTTCTATCTCTATCTCTTTTGCACGCGAACGACCGACCAAACGCTCTCTCTCTCTTTTTCTTTCTCTTTTTCTCTCCTCTTTTTCTCTTTCATAGCAGAGCGCGACGCGCAACGCACATTTTACTTTATTCCGTTTCAGCGTGTATCCCACCACGAGTTTAATATCATCCGGACGAACGTTGATTGGCCGATCCGAAATTGTGGGAATGTGTCTCTGGTAAGAGAAAGAGATCGAACGGAGGCCGCCCACTACACCACTTCTTCTCTTATCCCTCTTCTTCGTTCTCTTCATCTTCTTCTTTTTATTACTTTTCCTTGCTACTGTAACCACCGTCACCGCTACCGCCACATTCTCGATTATTATAATTTCCGTCAGCAATCTTCCATTGGCTTTCCCATTCCATGAAAAATCACATTTCCCTCTTCCTATCTTTTCGTAATCCGAGCGACAGCGATTACGTAACCCATGAAAGAAGAGAGACAAGAAGTCATCAGAAGGGTGAATGAGAGAGGGAGATGTATGAAGGATAATTAATTTACATTTTGCCGAGTCATAGCATTTCTATTTTCTTGAAACGAGCCAACGCATACTGACGGAGTTTCTCTTTCTCATTGATTATTGAAAGAAGCGATTGTTTTTTCTTTTCTTCGGTATTTTTTTTAATTTTCTATTCATCTTCACATCCTTTCTCTTTCGAAATGAAAGAGAAAAGATAAAGAAAGACAAACGAAAAAAAAGAAAGATAGAAATAGATATAGACATAGAGAATAAAAGAGAGAGAGAGAGAGAGAGAGATAGAGAAGATGAAAAGAGAATATCCAACCCCCTTGAGCCCCCCCGTGGGACCCACCATCGTACTCATCCTATTTCCTTGATAATTCCCATAATGCTGTGGGCGGATATTCCAATAAAGGGGGAAGAGCCCTCGATCACAAAACGTTGAAAGCGCGGGACGACAACTAGAATCGGTCAGGTTGATGGTAACCAAGATTTACGGGATTTTTACGTACACCGGCCGAACTGCGGTGAACTCGAGATAGCTAAGGTAAGCTAAGCTAAACTAAACTAAGCTAAACTAAAGCTAAGCTAGAAAGATTCAAACTCGCAAACACACAAGTACAAAGACCACACACTCTTTGTGGTCTATGATCATCGGTAATAGGACAATGATAACTAACTCTCTATAACTATATATATACACATGTACACATACACATGCACACGCACGCAAGCGCATAGTAGACAACCTCGTGGGAAAACGATAATTAGCCAAGAGAGGGAGTACGCATGCGGGATCATTGTACTCGAAGATGAAAACGATGAAAGTTCGAAAGTTCAAAGATTCTCCCTCCTTCCTTTTTCTTTTCTTTTTTTTTCCTTTTCTTTTTTTTCTTCTTCTATTTGCCATTATAAATATATATTTCGCATATGCATTTATACATTGAATTTCATATGCTGCTATTTGCTAGTTATTTGCAAATTTTCTTGAAACATATAATATATATATATATATATATATATATATATATATACTTTTATTACTTATGTTTATAAATAAATATAATATATATACATATTTATAAATAAATAAATAAGTACATTCACAGGTCGGCGACCTTAGATGTCTCATCCGGTGAATTTGATTTTTATGTTGTCTTTCTTTTGTTTTATTTTATAATTTTTTTTTATTTCATCGTTCCTCTCTCCTTTCCCCCTTTTTCATTCGTAGGGTCGTCGAACGCGCGGGGACTCGATTTGAATCTAATTACGATCACGGTAATTCCATAAGGAGAAGGAAATAGTAACTCACCGGAAACCTTCGGGTCAGCTGTCTCCACTCCCATTGCCGCAAGTCTCGCTATTGGTGCTGGTACCTAAAAAAAAAATAAAAAAAAAATTAAATGCATTTATGGTATTTAATATATGTTTAATACTTGCGTATTTGTTTATGCAGATTGTGAATCGTTTAAAAATATTTACTTGCATGTTTAAAAAGAAAAACAAAAGAGAAAGAGAATGAGTGTAAAACACACAGCGTTCATGGTCGTGAACGCATTGTACGTACCTTGATCGAGGTAAGGAAAGTATTGGTGATGATGATGGTAGTGGTGGTGGTTGTGGTGGGGAAGAAGGGGGAAAGATGCAGGGAACGGCTAACCCACGAACCGCGACGAAATCGATCCTCTTTTATGGATCTTTCGATTTGCGGTCTTACATAAATCCTTTCGCAAATTAACGAATGAGACGGAGTAAGGAAAAGGCGTTTGACAGTACCGAAATGCGATACGGTGTTGTATGGGATATATCATAAGTAGTTCTCTACCTCCGACTTCTCAGATCGTTTCTAGTTTCCCGACAAAAGTAATAACACCAAGTAAGATCCATATATGAGCCGTTCAGTTCACACATCGAATAACTCCACTTTTTGAAAAATCTTAAATTTAAGTGTCAAAGCACTTGGTATAGTAATAACTTTTTACATTTATAATAACTTTCCTGAATAATAAAGATAAACACCATTAATTTTTTGTTTATTGAGTTAATCGATGTGTGCACTGAACGGCTCATATGTATTTATATATACCGATAACTATAATAACGAGTTAATGTATGTGAGTAAAACAATTGCAAACATTTATTTTACAATTTATTTTCTAATATTTTTTGATTTAAATTTATTTTTTTTATTGATTTTTATTATTTAATACGATTTATTTCTATAATAATTATAATAAAAAATAAAAGCAAAAAAAACAAGATCGTTTATTTTAAGTCCAGCGTAGTAAATAATTTTATGCATAGATATATTTTTTCTTTTTGATATTAAGTTTGATTTAAAAAAATCATTTAACTTGAAATCGAAATTCATGCAGGAAATGAAGTGATTATGGTGATGATTGTTAGTTTCACTTTAAAGTCAATTGACCCATCTACTGACGAAGGGGAGTAGTTTCCGCTTTCTTGAAATTTTAGGGCAAAAAGAATGAAGAAGCCATTTCCAAGATCACCGACCTTGTCACGTTTGCTTGCTAAGGCGTAAAGTATTCGAACGACTTCCGGCATAGATGTAAAAGTTCGATTAACATAAGTACGTGTGAAAGAATAACATCGATATTTGAAAAACTTTCTCATAATAATGTACGTCGTACTTTTTAAAAAGAATGTCGACACACGAATGTATCGTTTCGAATTAATTTATCGAACACATTGTGTAGTTTCCGAAAAAGAAAAAAAACTACAAGTACAATTTGATGTTCGAAGTACACCGGTATATATTCCATGATACCTAAAATGTGTTTCTTAGGAGAAGATCTTAATATGAAAGAAAAATATAATCGAGCATGAAGCCCCATCGAGTTACAAATTATACGAATCCTGTACGATTTCTGAAGCCCTAGTTTAGTACCAGTGGTAGGCGCCATGTGTGTAGTATTTGTGAAACTATTGCAACATCATCGTCTGCATCTACCTGCATCATCTTACTCTTAGTTTCAAAATGAAATGAAACATTTGACGCGTTGCTGTTAGTAGTTAATGTTCCTTTAAGATTTCGCAAAATCAATTTTTCTCTTTTTTAATCGAATACAATAAAAATAAAAAAAAAATCCGGTTTCGTTGGAACACAACGAAATTGAAAATGTTCATTCGATACATACATATATATATATATATATATATACATACACACATACATATGTACATAAGACTTGTGACCAAACGATCCGTTCCTTAATCGAACATTTATATTCCGCGTTCATAATTATCGGCCTTCGAAGACCCAATATTACGGAGTTGCATCGTATCTCGCATGACAATGTTATATCGTCTCAGTTGGTAGTAATGTGTTTGGAATTTCTCGTTTCGCGTTCAGCTATTATATTACAAATGTATTCAGGTAAAGAAATAAAAAACAAAACAAAAAACTAAAAAAAGAAGAAGAAATAAAAGGAAGGGTTAGAGGGCAGAAGCAATGAGATAACAACGTTAAAGAGAATTCGCTAGGCAATTAGAGGAAGCACGTTTCTGGCATCGATTTGCACCAGCAAGAGGACTATGAAACAAAAGTTGCATGTGGCACGAGGAGGCGTATCTTACTACCTACCGAGCCAACAACGAAACGTCGAATAGACGTTTCGAAATCCAGTCGTCATCGTCATAAATGCTCTCGAAGAAATCAACGGAGTAAAGAGTATCGGAAATTTATAGTATAGGAAACACCATGTAAAAGCACGGTACTCATGCAAGGTGGTCGTATGTATGGAACACATGGATAAAAGGAGGAGGAGAGTGGAGAGGGGGAGGTAAAAAGAGAGATAGATATAGAGTCCCCCTCTCGTTTCGTAGATAGAAAGAGGGCGGGGGGGGGTGAGCAGGAGGGACAGAAAGGAGTGAGCGAGGGAATAAGTGAATGAGAGAGAAAGAGAGAAAGAAGAGGCCAAGGAGGTGGGGCGGGGGCGACAAAGGGGGCAGAAAGGATGGGAGGGGAGAAGCGGAGAGTATAGAGGTATATGAGAAAACAATAGAGGCTGATTTGCAAACAATAGAATAACGTTAAGAGTCGAGTATTATACGCCGTTGTTACTTCTTGTGCCATAACGCCGGAGAGCATATGCCCATTAATATTCAAAGGCGAAAATAATGTAAACGACACGACAAAAATCGGGGGAATAATTTCAATTCTCCCCGTATGGGATTCCATAGCATGCGATCCCATGCGAGAGAGAGAAAGAAAGAAAAAGAGAATAAGAATGAGAATGAGAATGAGAGAGAATGAGAGAGAGAGAGAAAGAGAGAGAGGGGAGGGACCATGTTTCGCGTATCATCCTTCTTCTCTTCTTCTTTCTCTCGTCCTTGTTTCTAGCGAAGGAACGAAAGAAACGAACGAAACAAACGTTCCTACGCGAAATTACTTTTTCCAACGACGATGCACGCTTGCTTGCTTGTTTGTTTGCATTGCATTGCTTTGCTTTGCTTTGGTTGCTTGCTTTGCTTGCTCGCTCTGATATACATAATTGCCGTATTAAAAAAGACAGAAAAAGAAAGGTACAGTCAATGGGGGTTTCTGGTTAGTGTCTAGAATTTGATCGCGAGAATGATTAAAACCGTGGGTGGATGGCGAAAAAGGTGAGCTAGCTAAAGAATAATATGGTATCGATAAATACAAAGAAACAGAGGGAAGGAGAGATAAAGAGAGAGAGAGAGAGAGAGAGAGAGAGAATGAGAAAGAGATGGGCCTTATTTTATAATACATTCAAACAGATTTAACTACCGGTTGTAATTTTTTTTCTATTTCTTATGAACGATTAAACTACGAACAATACAATAGAAACAATTTAGAAAAATTTAATTTCCTCGAACGAATCGACGATGTTTCCTTCATCTTATTTTACGCCACTCAAGATTACGACTTCTTCTCGATCTCGATCGAGATTTACAAATCGATATATTGTTAAACGATCGAATATTTTTAATCTTTGTAAAGAATGAACACGAACAATGAAATTCAAATATAATTGAGTTTCTAAGTAACCTATGATTTTTGTATAATTTCTTTAATCAATTTATGAATATTAAGAGAAAAAGAGAGAAAAAGAAAAATAGAAAGAATAAAAGAATAAATTTTTAGATCTAGATTCTAAAAAGGTTTTCATTTCAAACGTGATATCCCCTGCTGTTCCGATTACGCGACAGAACGTCGCGACTTATTCGTTGTTCACGTTTCTACGAAGCACTGAATTATTCGAGCGGTTTGGTTAATGTATAACTCTCTCGTCAGAATGTGAGAGTTTACGATGTCACGTAGGCTCCTCCATCGTTTCATCCTTGTCGGTTGTATCAGTAATAGTATAGTCGTCATTTGCCTCATCGAAAATCCGACGATGAGTTAAACTACTATTGTTCTATCATCTATGATCCTGAGAGATTATCGAATAAGTTTTTTTCTTTTTCCCCTCTCTCTCCCCCGCCACCAGTCTTCTTAAAATCATAAGATCAGGAAACGTTGATTATTTCTTGTTTTTCTTCATTTTTTTTGTTTTGTTTAAATCATTCTCATCATCGTCGTCATATAACACATTCGAGTCTTTTTATCAATATTTATCTACGCTACAATTTATTTTCTTCTTCTTTTTATTTATGTAAAGTCAATTACGACATTTTTCTTTTTACCACCCATTTGCTCGCTTATCTTTCATCTTTTTCACACTAATTGTAAAAGACATTCGATCCCTCGACACAATACTTTGCTATTTCTATCTCTATTTCTCTCTCTTTCTCTTTTTCATTTTTACTTACTGATATATTATTATTTTAGCAAAAAAAAAAAAATATATTAAAATAAAAAGAAACATGCGACACGCAATGTTTTACCATAAAAGCTCGTTCACGCTATAATTCAGTAAGCGATATAATATTTCGTGATACGTAATAAGTATAAATTATACTTCCCGACGAAAATTCATTCGCATTCGATGTAACCACGGCAAATTAACGTTAAGAAATTGATGCTATTGTTCTTGGATTTGATTCAACTTCCGTTGCGAGATTTTTTGTTGTATTTATGAGAGAGAAAAGCAGATATACGCATATATGTTCTACACATCGTAAATAATCGATATTTGTTCGATCCAGTTAATTTGAACGAATAAACATACAAGACGAATGGAAATCCGCGTTAGTTTATTCTAATGAAGTGTATAACGCTTTTAATTAATAATTTAGAAATCTAGAATATATATGATTATAAACTAACGATTGATCTCGAAAGTTTGATTGTGAGACTCGTGAACGAACTCCTAGTTCTTGGACACGATTCAATCTTTTGTAATCGGTAATACGGCCTCTCTCTCTCTTTTTTTCTCTTTCTCTCTCTTTCTTTCTTACTGTCTGTCTTACTGACACGAGAAACAATCGTGCTAAATTCTTCGTTCGTGTATTTTTACTGCATGCAGGGCCGAGAGAACTTTTCCACTCTCTTCTCCTACCTTCACGAGCTTTCCTTGACACGAGAAGATATTTGTGACTAATATGTCGATCAAGACACAACAATAATAATAATAATAATAGTCTTACAATTACGTATACTATTTTTCGTACATACACACACATATACACACACATATCTACACATATATGTGGGTGTATTTTTGTCGACTTTTTAATCGATTTCAATACGATTGTAATCTAATAATAAAAACCTTAAACAAATTAATCATCCATAATTACTCACCCTCGTATCTTTCGTTTCTTCCCTTGGAACGTTCTGAAACAGCACGCTACCCATTTGAACTTGAAGATTTTGTTGCAGCAATTGTGCCAATTGTGGATTTTGCGACAAGATTGCTGGATTTTGTTGCAATAATTGCGCCAACGCAGGATTTTGTACGAGTATTTGACTCAATGGTGAATTCGTTATTGGATTGATCGACTGTTGTTGTTGGTCCTGTTGCTGTTGTGAATCTTGCTGCTGCTGTTGTTGTTGTTGTTGCTGCTGTTGTTGTGGCTGTTGTTGTTGTGGCTGTTGTTGTTGTTGTTGTTGCTGATGTTGTTGGTGCATTTGCTGCTGTTGCAAATTCGGAGAACTCGCGTTTGATGTTTGACAGGATTGTGAAAAATTACCACCAGGTAAATTTTGTCTCGGTGGACTTTGAGGTGTGTGAGGTGGTGTCGGTGGACTTCCCGGTGCCATCGAAGATGCGTCTTTCTCTTCTTTCACTCTCACCTTTCCTGTGGCACACGAATTGTTCATATATTTCGTTAGTATTTATATTCTTTGAAAAAAAAAATTATGAAAATATTTTCGAAATCATAAGAAAAAAGAAATGATTTCAATAAAAAGTCGATCTGAAATAAATAAATATTGATAAATAAAAAAAAGATATAATTTATGTTCTATATGGATTTTATTTGAAATTAAAATTAAATTAAAATTCAATTATTGTAAATTGTATATGTCGAGTATGATAATGAAAAGAAAAAGTATTTTTTCGCGTTCTTAAATACATATGACCTTAACTGTCCTTTTATTAAATCTCACGCCTTCGATCTCGATCATAAAAGTCTCGCCAAAACCCCAAACTTTGTCAGACTCCTGATGAGACACTGACTACTCTTACCAAGTTTTTCCATATTTTTGGAAAGAATCGAGTGGTGGGGGAAATCAGCTTCCGATTGGTAGAAGGAAATTCTTTTGGTTGTTACGTTGGACGAATGAAAAGGTGTTGAGAGAGAATCCAAACTCCCTGATGGAAGGGGGAAAGAAATCGTGGTGGTAAATAAAAACAAGAAGAGTGGGAAAGAAAATAAGAGAAAGTAATATTATCGACACAAAAAAGAGAGGAAAGTGGAGTAGGAATCTAAAGGGAAAAATCTTGTTTTTTTTTCATTCTCTCTACCCCGTTTGCCCCTTTGCAAGAGAAGTTGGAAATCGTGAAATTGAGACGTTCGGATTTTAAAAGTCCCGTAATCGACTGCCAGAGAGAGCAGGTACATCTGCTCCGTTTCGATCCCGTTTCTTTTTTTTATTTTGGGGTGAAATCGGTCCCGAAGAAGCTACGTTAGTGCGGTGAAAAAGCAATAAGAAAAAAAGGCAAGAATAACAGCAGAATTAGAAAAGATAGAAAAAAAATAGAGAAGGAAAGAAACATAAGAAGAAGTGTCGAAAGTCGATCGATCGATCGATCATTTTTTCTTACCATTATGATTCGAATTTAGACGTGTGGGCATAGCGAAAATAACCTTTTGCGTTCATTGTATGCGAAAAGTTTCGAACTAATGTGAGAAAATAAGAATACATATGTTCACCTATGTAAGAAATATACATTTATATATGTATATGTAATAAATACGCATATATATATTTATATACTTACATATATATGTATAATAAAAATACTAGCATATAAGAGCGCATCAACGAACTATCGTGTAATACGACGAGGAGGAGGAAGAAGAATCCGTTCGTCTCTCGGATTACAAGAAACTCGGATTACAGAAGGAACCAACCGGTTCTCTTCTTAGTTATTCTCAGTTCTCGATCATGCGGAGGGTTAAAACTACGACTGGTGGGATTTATAGAGAAAGAAGAATGAGAAAAAGAAAGAGAAATAGAAAGATACACAGAGAAAGAGAAAAAGAGAGAAGTAACGAGTGGTGAGCAGGGGGTTGTTTTTAATAACCCTCCGGGATGGTCGACTAATTTCAGGTAGATATATCGCGGTTTATTCGCGCAAGACGCAACTAAGGCCCATGAGAACGTCAAACTCCAACGAGAGAGAAGATCCCGAAGGTGTATTTTACCTGGGCCTTCTTTCAGGCTTCTGGCAGGTCGGCTCCGCGGGTGCGGAATGAGAAAATAAGAAGGGAGGAAGGCAGGAAGGAAGGAAGGAAGGAAAGAAGGAAGGAAAGAAAATAAAGCGAGATAGAAAGAGATGTGAAATTGGGAAAGGGCTTAAAAGGTTCCCTCCTTTTTTCGCAAAGGTATTTTTAAAAAAAGAGAGGACCGTAAGGTAGTAGCATCGAGAGGAAAGGGGAGACTAGTATGGATCGATGACGTTTATCGAAATTACGCAACATCCCCCTTAAAAAGGCTGCTGCAGCTTCTTTCCTATTTCTTTTCTTTTTCTCTCTCTCTCCCTCTCTTTTTATTTTTTTACCAAAGCATTCTCGAAAAATGCATTCCCCCTTCTTTATCTCTTTGCCACATTCGTCCATCATTCTAGAAGACGCCTCGGAACGATGAAAAATGATCGTCCGTCGTAATTTTCGAGTCTTCTTTAGAAGGTGAAAAGATAAAAAGGTTGGTATTATGTAGAGAGAGTGTGTGAGAGAGAGAGAGAAAAGAAGAGAAGTGCACATTGTGGGAAAAGCTTTTGATCCTCGATTCCTATATCACCTGTATATTTGAAAAATTCTTCTAGCAATTAATATTACTTTAATACGATTTAATTTCGCGCTTATCCTCCGATGAAAGATTTAAATCCCATTTGTTATAAAACACGTTTAGAAAATATCAAGACACCGGTGGTGTATGATATTTGAATAATTCAGACGGTGACTTCATATAAAGGTAACATTCCATGGTTGAAGGAATGTCAGAAGACAAGAACCGAGATTACACGAGTTGAAACGATTTTATGCAGAGCCTGGTTGAAGAAGGAGTAGGCGCTACGCGATGCAACGATGAAAGAAAAGAGAAATATGAGAGAAAGAGAAAAGGAAAAAGAGAAAAAGAAAAAGAAAGAAAAAGAGAAAGAGAGAAAGAGAGAGAGAGAGAGTATCAAATGGATTCTCATCGTTGGCAGAGAAATTCCTCAAGGATCGCATGCATATACGCGTTACGGTGCATCCTTACGGCCGGATCCTTAAATCGAGTCGATTTTTAAGGTCCGTTCCGAAGAAGGTCCTGCGCCGCGGGGATCCTGTGTTTCTCTTCCTCTCGAAACGTTCTCCCTTTCATCTTTGCTCCACATCGTCTTGCATCTCGCCAAGCCGGAGTAGTCGTGGCCGATTGATAAAAATCAAAGGCCCAGAGAATGTAACGAAAAAAATAGGGATAACCCACGAAAGGGGTACCAAAGGGAAAAAGTCATGGCGAAGGATGATAAAGGGAGGAGAAAAATAATCGACCCACCCACCCTTTTTCTTTTTCTCTTTCTCTTTTTCTCTTTCTTTCTTTCTATCTTTCCTTGTGTATTCTTTACTACGAATATAAATTTATTCTCGCTCGGTTAAACTCGCGTACAACACACACGTATCATATTTTTACGTTGAATTTCTCTATAGCAACATCGAAATATTCCACTTTGCTAAATAAGGAATATAACAAAAAGAAGAAGAGTAACAGAATAAAAAAAAGGGGGAAATAAACAAGAAAAAAAAACGAGCGTAACGGCGATGCGTGTCGGCCGAGTCTGGAAAGAGCGTAACATTGACGTCCGACCTCTTCCCTAACCTCCAGACTCAAAAAGATTAACAAAAAAAAAACGGAATAGAGTAAGGAAAGAAAGAAATAAAGAGTAAAGTTCAATCGGTATACATCCCCAGCCTATTTTTACGAGATACTTAAGGCTCTAAACGGGTTCGACGATAGAAAACGGGGTTTCAGATTTCAAAATTTCGCGAGGAAGGAAAATCGGTTAAACCCCTCTTTCTCTCTCTCACTCTCTTGATCTACCTTTCTTTTTTTTTTTCTTCATTTTTTATAGACGAAAGTCGAGGCGAACCGTGGACGATTTTTCTCAGGGGTTAAATCGAGCGTGGCCCTCAATTTTGCTTCTTTTTTTTCACGGAGTTTACACAGGTAGTTTAAAGATAGAGAGAGATAGAGAGAAAGAACTATATGGTATACTACCTGCACGCGAGCTACCATCCGCGTACGTTCGCCTCTGCAATGCGGAAGGGAAAGGACAAGAATATAAGTCTACAGTGATCGGTGAGGGGTCCAACAAGAGTGGTGAAAAAAATGAAGATTACGCGAGAACTCGATTGAGAGTAAAAGAGGGAGAGAGAGAACGAGGGATAGAAAAACACACAGTCGAGTTCACTTCCCTTCTTTTCCACTTTTCGATGCGATGCTTCTGGGACCTGAACGAAGGGTAAAAAAAAAGAAAAAAGGGAAAGAGTGATCGAGAGAAGGGGAGAGTAAAAGTGAGTTAATAGTCGGTAAAACGGTATTCTTCGCGTGACCCGAAGGGGGTTTAAAGTTCTTCCAAGGGTGACCTCTTCCTTCCTATTTTTCTTTACGTTTCTCCACACCGGTGATACCTCTTCCGGAGGGGTCTGATAAAAAAAAAAGAAAAAAAAGAAAGGGGAAACTATTCTTCCTCTCTCTCTCTCTTCCTTTCCTTCTTTATCTACGTGATCGTGGAATCATCGACTATGGAAAACCGAGACACGCGGCGGCAAAGCTCGGGTTCTCTGTTTTACTCGTAGAATAAATTTCAACGATTCGTTCTATGTTAGACACACAACGTTTCTTTTTATATTTTCTGTCATATTTATTTATTTTTTTTTCTATTTTCAACGTGGCAAATAAATCTCTCTCTCTCTCTCTCTCTCTTTCTTCTTTCATCTTACCACATTTGTACGTGAGATAAACGCAAATAAAACTAGTCAGAGGAATATTTAAGAAAATTAGTAAAATCGGTAAATCAATTAACTCAAAGACATGTTGGGATTGGATAATCGATGAAAAATTATTCGAGAAAAGGAAGGAAGAAAGAAAGAAAGAAAGAAAGAAAGAAAGAAAGAAAGAAAGAGTGAGAGTAGTAGAGAAAGAGAGAGAAAGAGAGTAAAGAAGAAGAAGAAGAAGGATGGTGAAAAAGAGAAGAGGATGATAGTATGCGTCTTCTCCATAATAAATCGTCGATTCTCCATCGGCTCGTCATCGCCGACGACGATATATCGACCGAGGCGAATCGACTCGCGTCATTAAAGCTCTCACAGCCGGTTCTTCTTCGTCGACGCGATCCGACTTCGACTATACTATAGTGAACCTACTACGTTCGCGAGAATGAGAATAATAAGGATAAGGAAAGTTAGTAGGGTTGGAATGAATAAAGGTTCTTCCTACGAATCGAAGAAAAATTAACTTTGGTCCTAAAGTTACAACAAGTTGATAGAGTATCCTAAATGTTATATTGCTTGATGGATTGCTGTTAATAATTCATAGCTTCTATTATTCTCCCCTTTTTCGTCTGTGGTTTTTTTTCTTTTTCTTTTTTTTC